ACATAAAGGACGACTTCCCCTCATCACCATCCCAGCCTGTCCTTCCTAAAAAAACCTGTATCCCTCCATCGCAGCACTCCAGTCATGTGAGCTACCCCACCACGTCTCCATGATCCCAGGGAGGTCATAGTCCTGTAACTGCACACAGACTCCCGATCGTCCTGTTTGGTCCCCATGCTGCGTGCGGTAGTGTAGGGGCATTTCAGAGAGGCACCCAAGCGTGCCTACAAGGCACCCAAGGGACCTACAAGAAAGCTGAGGAGGGACTTTTTACAAGGGCATGGAGTGGTAGGACAAGGGGCAAGTGCTTTAAAGTCAGCGGGAAGGGTTAGATGAGATATTAGGAAGAAATTCTTCACAGTGAGGGTGGTGAGGCAGTGACAGGGGTTGGCCCGAGAATTTGTGGATGCCCCATCCCTGGAAGTGTTCAAGGTCAGGTTGGATGGGGCTGTGAGCAACCTGGTCTGGTGGGAGGTGTCCCTGCCCATGGCAGGGGGGTGGAACGAGGTGATCTTTAAGGTCCCTTCCAACCAAACCATTCTGTGGTTCCCCAGGACAGGCTTGAGACCTTCCCCATCAGGCTATTCTGCAGCCACCTCCTCCTTTACATGCCTGCCCTCAAAGGGATGCCACCTCAGCTCTTTTTTGTTGATGCCGTGGCCTTTCTGCTCACACCACCCCAGGCCCTTGGCCTGCCTACTCTGTCCCTAACTTCCTAGCTGCCTGTTGAGGAACCACTCCCTCCCCTGTTGTTTCTGGTTTAAAGATCTGACTAGTTTAAAGCTCAACCTTGGCCAGCCTGTTGGCAAAGGTACTTTGTCCCTGTTTAGTTAAGTGGATCCCATCTCTTCCAAGAAACTGTTGACTCTAAAAGACAGTCCCACAGTTGTAGAAATCAAAACCCTCTTGCCAACAGCAGCCAGTTGTCAATCAGTACCAAAATATTGGCTTTTGTCACTAAGAGTTACACCCTCATCTGTACTGGGGGGACCACGTGAACCCCATAGGGTCTTGCCTTAAGCTTCTAGGCAAGGTAATGTCCTTCTACATGTTCTGCTTCTCTCAGGAACCGAGACATCCAAAAGGCGGTCATCCACCAAGCACTAGAAAGCCGTGGCCCTGCGTCCTGGTCCTTGCAGCGCTCCAGTGTTAAAAATTTTGAGCCCCAGTTGTTTGAAATCCTCTGCTGTAGTTATGAGCAACTTCTTGCTGTGATACATGCAGGCAATGAATCCTTCATATTGCCTTTGTCTGCCTAAATCTCCTTTGTATAGGTTCGCTTAAGTTATATGGCGGAGCCTCTCTTCTTACATTTGGGGGAAAAAGGCTTCGTTTCAGGTTTGAGCCACTGTTCTTCAAAGAGCAAGTTACTTACAAGTAGTAACTCCTTCTGCATGTGTTCAATAACCATGTTTTGATTTAGCTTTATTAAATTTAAAATCAATATTGCTTTTCATACCAATGACCTAATCCTTATTAAAGCTCTGCCCTGACAACTTTCAGAGTTCAGCAGTTTCTTTATAAGCCTATGGAACAAGTACAGCCTGAGCTCTTTTGAAGGAAGGAAATGGATTTATTTACCTATACTGGATTTAAAAACAGCTCACTTTTTTTTTTTTTTTGTTCCAAATAAAAATCATAAACCGTGTGAGATGGAGAACTGTGAATTTTATCTCGCCAATGAACTTTCAAGAAGTCTGAGCCTGTGTGAATTATAGTGAAAATTATATTGTTCCTTCTGTTTTAGCAGCTACTTTCAGAGAATTTCACTACCTGTAGCTGGGAAGCTCTGGTTAGAATGATGCTCTTCTTGCGGTTTGCTTCTAAGTTGAGCGTCCTCGGTTTCCTCTTAGCTACCTTCACAAGACTGCAAGTTTGGGAGAAATCTCTATGACAGCCTCTCACTTTATAGATAAAATTCAGGGGGTGATTCAAGAAGAAGCTGGGCAAACAAGGTAGCGGAAACCCTCTTAGGGGGCTTGTGTCTCTCTTACTTTTTTCCAGAACTTCATTGCCAAATGTATCGGTGGTTGTTATGCTTCTCCTCTGTGGGTTTGTGAATGAAGTAGCATCCGTAGGTGTGTAGGCAGAAGAGACTTATTTCTTCCAAGGGAACATCAAGTGGAAAGCGAAGACGCCGTCATTACTTGGGACACAGGATTTCATAGCTTAATGCCAAGGTTGCCCTGACCTTTCCCTTGAGCGATTGGTTTGGACCTAGTTTATAAGATAAAAAGCTATAATTCACAATTGCGCTGTTCATGAAGATGGTTCTTTGAGGAGGACAGAGTGAACTTTACCTGCCATGAGTTACATTTTATTTATCGGTTAACTTCTGGGTTGTTTTCAGATTATATCAAAACCCAATGAACCAGCTCGCCAGCATGAAAGCCACCCTGAGGAGACAGAAGAAGAGTTACGGGAACACCAAGCCCTTTTGGAGGAGCCATACAGCGACAGGGTCGCAAGCCAAAAGGAGGCCCCAGGGCTGGCCAACATGGTACAAGTGAAGCAAGAACCTATCGAGAGTGATGAGGAGGAGGCAGAGCCGCAGCAAGAGCTGGAGTCTGGGCAGCGGCAGGCTGAGCAGGAGCTGCTCTTCCGTCAGGTGAGCTTACAAAATACCGAGTTTGGGACTTGGTTCTTTGTAGAAGATGGTTTGGTTCTTGGTAGTCACCTTCTACTACCCTAAGGGGGAGAAGCTAGGGTAGAACCAGCTCTTGAGGATTTGCTATATAAAGAAACCTACAGGTAAAATCAGTGCCATCCTTCCCTGGAGTCACCGTGTCATCTCGGAAGTCCCAGGGAGGAGAATCTGGATCACCTGCACGAAACGCAGTCAATGTGTTTTCAGCCACTGAGCCACTTTCCCTTTGTTTCGTTGGGAAGACAAAGTACGTCTTAACTTTTTTGAGCACTCAGTACTAGCCAAGGGTTTTATTTTGGTTTTATGTTTTAAAACAAACTGACTGCTCCAGAGAAGGGCTGGATAAGGGAATAAAGGACGAGGTTCATTGGAGGAGATTCCTTCTTCAGAACTAGAGATCCTAGAGACCCCAGCTGTGCTCACTTTTGAGGGTAGACACCGGAGGCTTGTGGATTGCAAGTGATAAATCCAATAACAACATAGCATAGCATAATCTTCCCAATTTACATGGCAGTCTTCCAAAGGCCGCCTGTTGTGGTAGCAGTAATGAAGGTGAGAAGGTTACGATTCTCTTAAGGCATCAATGCTCTGCTCATCTTTACAGCCCTTAGCGCTCAGCATCTGACTGTACCTACAGCCGTGCATAACCCCCGCACGGGACCTGCAGCCAAGAGCAGATTGCTGTAGCCATGCCAGGGTGTAGCGCTCTGAGTAAACCCACAGCCCTTGGCTAGGGAAAGCGGATTCGTGCCAGATTTGCAGTTGCAATGTCTATGAATCAGGTGCAAACTGGTTGCTCCGTGTAGTCATTTACATCTCGCTACCGTCTTCCTAGCACTGCGGAGCTGACTCGCGTGTCCCCATGAATGTCGCTGGCTGTTGTTGCTCAGAGACTACATTTTCGGTTCCTCACTGAGCAACGTTGTCTTCCTAACAGCGCTGCCTTGAAGGATCAATGCCATTGCCAACCATGCTTGTTCAAAGTGTTAGCTGATTTATACAGTCGCGTCTGAGCCTCGTTGCCTTAGGAAATAAATAAATTAAATGTAACATGCTGCTAATGATGGACCACAGTGATACCATTCCTCTGAAAGTGCAACCCTCCCCGCCCTAATCCTGAATGGACGGTCACACCTGAGGAGTCTTTTAAAATATTATGTCCTTTGTAATTACTCGACCTGAAAGAGGAGAGGGAATAAATAGAGGAAATGGGAACTTCGTTAGGCTGTGGTTGGGAGCGTGGCAAGCCCGAAGAACCGTCCCTTCTGACCAAGAGCCTGTCCGGCTGATGGTGTGGCTGTGCAGAGAACCAGCTCGGTTGAAAACTCCTTCTCCTGCCTGGGATCCAGCTGAGCCGGACTCGTTCCGTGGTCTTGTGCATTGCACTGTTAAACGCACCAGTGCAGCAACCTGGGAGCATGGGAGGAGGAAGACGTGGCCAGTCCCGGGGAGGAGGAAGGAGCTGCTTCTGCTAATGACCCTGCCAGTGTGCACCGGCTTCAGGGCTCTGGTTTGAAGGTGCTGTGCTTGCCCGGCTGTGCTCTAGAAATGGGCACATCTTCATTTACTCATTTATCAGGAAAAGGAGTCCAAGCCTGCAAACCTTAAAAATCCTCAAAACCCCTTTTAAGAAGGCGCTGCGCAGACTTTCAGCAACTACTCCCTTCTTTTCCCCCACAGCAAGCCCTTCTGTTGGAGCAGCAACGTATTCACCAGCTGAGAAACTACCAGGCATCGCTGGAGGCAGCTGGCATGCCCGTCTCTTTCGGAGGGCATCGGCCTCTGTCCCGTGCACAGTCCTCGCCTGCTTCGGCCACCTTCCCGATGTCCGTACAGGAGCCACCCACTAAGCCAAGGTTCACAACAGGTAACGTTTTTGGGGTACTGGAGGCTGAAGCGGTGGGGCTGTGGTTACCATTTTGCCTTATGTTGTGCTTTTCTGCCTTGTCCTTGCAAAGCCATCTGTTTGGGTCTGTGTCTCAGCTGCGTTTGGGGACTTCATGACATCCCATCTTCTTCAAGGATAAAATTCAGTTGTCTTATGCCCTGTTGTCCTGCTTGTCCCTTCCACAGAGGGACAAACACCCTACGGTCCAACCAGAAGATAACCTGCAAAAATCAACAGGAACCTAGCACAGTACTTCAATTATGTATCTCCAGGAAAAAAAGCATGAGTCATATGCTCGGACAAAGCTGATTTAGGTGCAAGGCAGAGAGAGGCAATGTTATTGAAAAAGAACCCCATGCCAAATGCAGTATCTGTTGGCTGTATTTTCTGCACCTTCTCCAGTCCCTGTGCAATCTCATGCCATAAGTTATCCGCTCCAGGCTCTGTGCCAGCCTACCCCTCCTTCTGTAACACAGTCTCTGCCCAGGAGTCTGTGCCCATAGGTTAGGAAAAATGAGATGAGTTGATTATTTCAGGTTGTCTTGAACAGACAAACAGACCGAAGGGTGTTTTCTTACCTGTTCAGTCTTCATCTCGAACGAAAATTATGTGTGCAATTCTGCGTTCGTCTAGCGAAAACCAGAAGTGCAAAAAAGGTGTTAATCTCCCCACAAAGATTGAAGGCAAAAATAATTGTTCTTCCTGAATCCTGACAACTGACTTTTTTCCACCAAAATCCTTTCTGTCTATTCAGTAGCCTTAGGAACAGATGAAAGTTAATTTATGTGCAACTTTTCAGGTTCTATGTTGGGTGATTAGGCAGACTTATTCTGAAGTCCGCCTTCTTCCCCAAATGTCAAGCTCTATTTTGTGAATGAACATTTTGCACTGTAATGCGTGCCTTGGGAAAAGGAAGGGAAAAAAAACAAACACAGAACGCCCAAATAAGAGCAACTCATGATTTTGTTTCTCTTTCACTTATCCATTTATTCTTATTTAACCCACACTTTTTGCATCATTAAATCAGCACTGTGAATCGGGTTTATTTTCAGATACTGCTGGTATAGTAATAGTGATACATTAAATACGACTTTGTTCTTCAGCTACTGGCTGCAGGGTGGGAGGCATGTGCGATCAGTTCTGTAAAAGCCCAAGCAGTATCTCGTTTTTGCAAATCAACCCTTTAAGTCCCTATTTGTTGTTCATAGTGAAACCCTGAATTTCAGGAAAACTGCATTCCTAATGCAACCAGTTATCTAGCTTTTGACTTTTGCCAAGGATGCAAAGTAGGGTAGTCCCCTGGCTCACGGTCAAACCAGATGAAACTTGAGCATCTAATACCCTTGGACCCAAACCTTGATGCTTTAAAAACAAGGAAGCCTGGCCCTGCTTTAAGAGATTATTCATTCCTTCTCTTTCTTCCCTTCTCCTCCTTCGGTATTTAAGTTGCCTTGTCAATCATATGCAAGACTTTGAACATACAATAACGTTTCCTACCAGAGGGTATACATTTGACTCAGATATGTGCCTCTAAATTTCATTTAAAATTACAGGTAATGGCAGGAATGCAGATTTTGAGAACTGTGCTACTTTGAAAAGACGTTGTTACAATGTTATGATTTCTTTTCCTTGGAGGCAGGGTTTAAAAAAGAAAAAAGTAGCTTAAAATAAAAGATGGAATATCACATTGCTTTTATATAGTACTGCATGATCCAGTGCAATGATATGAAGCATGCTTAGTGTAGTTCACCTGTAAAATATTCTTTTCATGGCGTTTATCCATGTGAAGACTCCAAGGGCTTGATTTTTTCAGTTGCCTTGTGTCTCGTGCAGTTCTCTACATTTATTCTAGGTGAATGGAGGAGGAAAAACGGAATAAAATGCTGTCAAAGAAGGAAGTGTCGGGCATTTACTGGCACTAATAAAGGTGCAAAGCATAAAACGTGAGACCTTTATACTAGTCCTATAATTAGTCCTTCACCTCGTGTAAAAGATGGAGGACTTGTTTAATTAACCATCACTATCTACTCAACAGTGGCAGGAAAAAAGAGCCTACTGTTATGGACATGTAAGCACAGAGGAAAGGCAGGCATTTCAGCTGCTGAGCATGTGTGTGCGAGTTACATTGCTAATGTTTTCTTGAAGTTGTCCGTGGTGTGTCAGAGATTGCGTTTTTGGAGGTGGATACTAAAGCTTAATCACTAGGATTGAACTATTCTTTGAAAGGCAGGAAATTAAAGTCTTGGGTATTTTTCAAAGCAAGCAGTGCTGAAGCGCATCAGGCTTCTTTTGCGTTAGGAAAATCCATCTGTTTGATAAGTGGCTGCTTTAGAGACTGATCCGAACATGATTATGTGCTTTGGATTTCAGAGGAATTAAGATTTGAATTGTTGTGATCGTTTTGTGAGGGGGCTGGAAAAAACCAACCTCATTCAATGGCTCTAATGAAGCCAACCGTGGTCATTCTAGACACGAATGCGTCTCTTAAGAGATCAATTATTGTCCAACAGACAAAGGAATTGTTCATCACTTTCACGTTCAGGATTTTATATAGAAAACGCTAATGCTTTCTGTGGACAGAGTTAGGATCAGACAGCTGGAAATTCTTGGTTTTACGTATAATGTATTTTCCTGTCTCTCTTAGCGACCAGTACCTGAGACTTCAAAGGTATAGGGAAAGGACAACATAATACACCTCTCAAACATGATGTGCGTTACTCCACATGAAAGTGAAAACAGTGCCCTTCCTGACTTCTTCAAGCAATCAGGTTTATGTCCTGAAGCATGACATTTAATTTTCCTTCCTACTAGCATATAAAAGAAAGCTAGTCCTTGAACTTGCCCTTGCTAGCACAGGTTGCCCCCTTGACTTTAATGAATACTTCTGCATACACTGTTCTGCACACTTGAATAAGACTTCTCAGGTTAGGCCATTAATTTGCATAGCTCCAATTATCCAGCCTCTGATCTCCTGTAAAAATGGTTCCACAAATTATTCTGATGTTCTGCATTTAAAGTATTTTTCATTTCTGATGAAGGCATTTATTCTCTCCTGTGCAGAGCAATGTAATTATCTGAACCTCAAATCATATGTTTGTTCTGCCAAGAAAAGCGAGTTGGTTACGCTTTAGTGCTGACCTTTAAAAATGATTGTTCTCATGTCTTAAAGAGTATTGCTTCCAGCACCACTTAATTTAACTTGTAATGGCCAATGTAGGTTCGTATTTTAAGCTTAAATTGCCAAGCTTTCCTGTGTGTGTGTCTTTATCTGAGTGTCCCCAACGACAGGGAGGAACTTGGAACAGTTCCCTCCTTCCCAGTGGTTTAGTTTTTTTTTAAAAAAAAAAAAGAAAGAGAAATGTTGGGTGACATGTGATTACAGTACGGAAGAACTTCATTGAGACACTACTGTTACCATTGAATCACTGGGAAAGGAGAAACTTTATGGATCAACCAAATTCTATAAACCCTGCTGTAGTCTCCGTTAACAAATAGAGATGAGTAGGCGTCCTGCCATCCCCTTTTCTGAAAACCTTCTCTTTAGCCCCTTTGTCTACCTACATTGCATAGGCTCAGTTACCAAAACCCGTGTTAGACGTACCCATGAATTTTAAACACGTGTAGCTTTCCAGCGCTCGCAGATGCAGATGAGGAGGTGCTGGTTTGTGTGGCTGGGGATCTCGCCCGCAGCTACCAGTGTTTGCTCTCGTCGGTGCAGCTCTCTTAGCTGGCACGGCGTAGGATGAGCTGATGAATACCGCTGCCTACTTCTGAGCTGACACCAAACTTCCTCCCAAAAAACCTGGGAGATACCTGGCAGGTCTGCTGCACTGTAGGAAGATAAGGGAAGAACAGAAGAATAAAAGGTCAATGAAAAAAGCTGGGTTTTCATTTGTGTTTATCTTTGGTTTCATCTGTGTTGACTTCCGCCCTACCAGGCTCTAGGATTACCCAGGTACAAAATAGAGATGAAGACCGAGACCTTTAATCAGGCTAGGCATTGCTTTACCGTTGTACCTAGAGTTGCATCATGACAGTTTGTCAGGAGTTACTATTTGAAGCTTAAAGACTTGGGGAAAGACACCCTTTAAAAAGAAACTTGCAACACAGATTCACGTATCGACTATTTAAATGGTTTTAGACCCCTTCCAATTTTGCAGCGCAATCGGTGTAATTCAGGTTGCGCCCAGCTCCCAAGTAGTAAAAAGATTTGTTAGAGCAACTGCGTTATGCATCATCTGGGAATCCAGGAGGCAAGCAAGAAAAGGCTGCTTAAAAAACACTGCTTGAAAACGCTTGATTTTTTTTCCGCAAACTTATGAAGTATATGGCATGAACTACCTTCAGATTTATCTCCAGGTTGGAGTGTCCTTTTCAAATGAGGTGCAGCTTCTTGTTGATAGCTTTTCTATAGTATATTTTCCTTTTCCCATTTCCATTAGTGAATTCTCTGATGCACTCTCCTGCCTGTGCTCCAGGCAGTGTGGTCTCCTCTTGCCCTTCTCTTTGGCCATCACCCAAATGCCTCAATTGCACCATCTTTTTAGTCCTTGGTCCCTAAGGTTGGTGCCCTCAGAGGTTGCAGTCCTGGCCCCGCTGACGCCAACCCAGAGTGCCCGCGGACTGAGGGGAGCCAAGGGTTGCACCCAGACAGGTCAGCACCTATCTGATGAATGACTTGCTGCCTGTACTTCTTTTTGTTTAAATTCCAGGCTAGTTGTTGACTGTGAATATATCTGTTGAATAGATACGCATGCAGTTTTTGACTTTAAATCTATAAAGCCTAGATGAAGTCCCTGTAGATATGTCTGACAATCAGAGAAGGCAGAACCACTTGCCTTTCTTTAATAGGAATGATTTAGCCAAACCTAGTGCCCATATGGTCTAGGAGGACATCTACGTGGGGTTCTTTCGGGTAATGAATGCTTTGTCAAAATGTCCCCTGAAGATGAGTTTCCTTCAAAATTAAATTGACCTCCAGCAAGGTTTACCGCAGACCTTGTGCTAGTTTAAATGAACTCAGACTGGGGAGCTGTCATGGACAACCAACCTTACCGTTGGGTTACGGCTTCTTCTCGGGTGACATTTACAGTGCTTGCCTTTGCCCAGCAGCTCCTAATGAAGTTTGATGCTGTGAAGCAAACGCGGGAGACCTCTACAGAGCTTTGCAGCACAATCTTATTTAACTGAACTTTGGCTAACCCAAAGGCAGTCAATTAACCAGCGCTCTGTTCTCTTCCTAGAACTGAATGCGGTTTGGGTTTTGTTGGGTTTTTTGCCTTTGTGCTCACCTACAGCAAAGCAAGGAGCTGCCAGATACCTCCCCCAAGGCTGAATACCTGAAAGCGTCAGTGCCAGGGTTTGCCTTAGAGGGGAAAGCCAAATTTTTCAGTGGCAGAACATGCCTACGCTCAGTCAAAAGGTGTGATTGCAGCTCGAGCCAAGCGTGGGTACGTGCAGCAGCACGGCGCTCAGCTCCAGGCTGCATGTCCGTATATTTTCTCAGAGTCTGGTTCCTTACGAGCCCCTTTGAACTCCATGCGTTTGCAAATTGTGCTGTTTATCGGTGCTTGAACTAGCAACATGAAAGCCAGCTCTAGGTGAGCTCCGCGAGGGGTGTTCGCGCCGCCCGCCACGGCATAGGTGTGCTCGTCTGGGATTTCAGAGGAGCGATACTGGTTGGAGTGCAGAGCCTGTCGCATCAGGATCTGGGAACAGCTCCTGCCTTTGCTACTAATGCAAAGGCTTTGGATTCCCGTCCAGACCTTTGATTTGCAACTTTAAACTGTGCTTTCAGACAGATATTTCTTGCAAGAAAGCTTACTCCTCAGGGGGAAGGAAAAAAAAAAAACACACAACCGATTTTGTTCTGTTTTCTGGAGCTTGTGGCTGAAGGGAAGGGTAGATTTAAACATTTGACTACGAGTGAAGAAAAAAAAAAAAGGTCTTTGGTCACTGGGACTGCGTAGCTGTGGAGGACCTGCTGTTTTCCTCCAGTGGAACATTGGCTCTGAAATCACAGCTCCCCTTCCAAAAACGTACCCAGGCAACTCTGGAGCATGAATCAAAGTCTCCTACGCTGTTGTCATGCCATAAATACTTGGTAATGCAAGGGGATTTAGCTGCCTGACTCCCACGTTCAAATGAAACAACCCTGCTAAATACCTACATATCGTGCTGAATAATTATGCCCAAGTGTGTGCTAATAGCCTTAATTAGCATGTTGTCAAATAATGTTGATGCAAAGACTTCAGCACAAACTAGTTTATGAAGCATAGTGCCTGCTAATGACTTACTCCTGGTTTTTAATCCTAAACCCTAGAGTCATTTTAGCAGCAATTATAAAAGTACCCAGCGGGCAAGTTGTAAGTCAGTCCCCTCCTCGATCACATTCCTACACCGGCACCTCTGTACTCGTACTGATCCTTTCCGTTGTCACCTCCTTCTGTCACTCTCACGACTTCAGCCTGTGGAGATGTTGGTAACTAATTTCTTTTCCATGTCCATTGAGGATTTCCAGAAGAAGAGATCCTTGCAGGTTTGGTACTGTCTCAAAGCAACGTCTTGGATTTTCATTTCTTAGAGCTCTGCGGCTCCTGGTTAAAAGACACAGGCTTTGTCTAGAAGTGTTCAGTTGAACATAAAGTACTGTTGTTAA